AGGAACTCACTGGCTTCAAAGCTGCTCTCAAACCAAATGTCAGAACCATCTCCTGCTCAGGGATGGAAAAAGCCTGTCACAGTCATTACCGTGACACAGGCACCTACCAGCAGCCTCCAACTGCACTTTCAAATGCCAAGTGACAGGCAGATGTTTGCACTAAGAAATATAGCCCTCTCAGAGCCTCTGATTGCATCACCCACCAGGACAGCATTGCCTCAGCCTTCTCTGGCCAGAGCTTTGACCTGCACGAGTCACTTGAGCTCAGCCGGGCTCTGCACATCGCTCTGACGATGGGGCCCAGCCAGACCACATGGCCCTTCTGAAACTAGAGAGCTGTGCCTTTTTCCTGACATAAATGTCTTTGTCAGTAGGAAGCTGGCAAGGAGAAGGGGATGTAAGACAACTTAACCCTGCCTATTGTTTTCTCAGCAGCATTTGTCTGGTGGATTTATAGAAGTAAAAAAAAATAAAAATCCACCGTTGGGAATTTAAAATAACACTGGGGAAACAGTACACGCTCTGCAATAATAGCTTGATGATTAAGATAGACTATAAACCGTATAATTGAAATTTCATTTGACGAAGCACACGGGGTTATAAAAACGCAGTTAACATCCCAGGCTCTGATGCAGAAACTTCTACATGCTTGCAGACGGGGGTGGAGTCGCACCTGCGCTACCGCTGCCGTGAGAGAATGTGGGAGCCGGGGCAATGGGGAGGGCTCCGACCCCTGCTCACCCAGAGCTCCCCTCCCTGCCCGGCCCAACCCGGGCTCCATCGCCGGGACAACGCTGCCCCCTCGCGGCCGGCGCGGGTCGCTCTGCGCTGCCCTTCGGGAATGCCGAGGGATGCCTTTGGCTTTGGTGTGCCGCCCGCCTGGATCTGCCCGGGAACGCACTCAACAGGGCCATTCCTACCCGGTGCCGCGCGGGCAGTCCTGCCCTTCCCGCAGCCGAGCAGCGGCTGCCTCCGGTCACTCGCCTGACAGGTCGCGTTGGTGCTGCCTCAGACGCTGGGATTTACTGGTGACACCTCTCTTGACTGGGTTATTTTTTTTTTTTTCCACTTCAGGCCGTGTGTTTGCACAGTTAAGATCAGCAAGCCACGTCTGTTTCCGTTCCCACAGGCTGATGTCCTTGGTACCTGGCCACCAGTTCTTAGTGTACATCAACACGCGCTGATATACAGCCAGGCTGATCTTTGACTCGCCTCTGAAACAGCGACACATTTTCTCGACAACAAATTATGCTTTGACATTAGAAGGTGGCAATCTGTAATGGATATTGCAATCTGAAGATTGAAAGAGACTATCTGTGATCTTTGTCCTCAGCCGAGTAAGCTGGAGTCTCTCTTCCCTCCTACA